GCATCCAGGAGAAGTTTATTATTTCATCTAAAAGGTTTTGAAAAGTCATTCAAGTGCATCAGCATGCAGGAGATTAGGCGAATTCCCTTGACCTCTCACTTTCCATATATGGAGCCAATTACATCAAATATGGTCAACCAAACATATATCTCTAATTTATTTGACCAGACTGATTTGGAGACCATAAACAAGGTCCAGAATATTCCAAGGCGTTACTACTTCATGCCCAAGCTGTCCAGATACAAGGAACCTTCAGATTTTCCACATTTGGCCAAAAATCAAGCAATAAATGCCATATCAATCAAACATTTGATTGATTTCTTATTTATGTTAATTATTTGATTTATTTTCTTTTTTAAAAACGTGTATGAGCTCTATATAAGTTCAATTATTTCTCTTGTAAAAATCACCCTTGAATTAATAAAAAAACGTTTTAATTTTCTCTTGCAAAAGTCTTGTCTTTTGTGTTTTGTTCATTAGAGTTGTGTGGAATCACTTCTCTTGTGTTTGTGCGATCTATAGAGTGTGTATGTGTGATTCCTCACTCTAGAAGTCGTGTGAGTCTCTATCTCTGTGTGGAATCACTTAGGAAGTGTTATTGGAGAGTTGATTTATAAAGATTTTTAGAGTTTAAAATTCTATAGTTATTGGTGTGGATTTTTACATTCTTAATAGATTCCTCTGTTATTCATTTAGAGATTATAAAAATCAGTTGTTATTGATATGATGATTTTTATAATCTAATCAAAATCCATTGTTATTCAAAAAGTCTGCATTTTAATGATTCAATGATTCTGTTATAATCTAGTCTTATTGGCATAATGATTCTTTATAATTTAATTCATAAATCATGATTCTCAAAATACTACATATATCCCTTGGATTCTCAAAATCTGTCATATTAAAAAATTCTTAATAGATTGTTTAAATCCATAGAACTCTCTCTAAATTTTACAAATCCAACAAAACTCTTAAAAATTTGACAAATCTCATGATTTTTAAAATCAACTAAAATCTTCATAAATCTAACTCCCAATAACCCCCCCTTAGACTTAGGCTTGTGATCTCATCATGAAGGCTTTCACACTTTTGTGTGGCGATCTTTGATCCATCTTTCTTGTCAACTTTGACATCTTGTGATCAATAAGATTTGGTGGATTACAATCTTACATCACTCTGTGACTCGTGTACCATGTGAATCAAGTAATGAATAAATATTTTTACAATTATAAAATTTATACTTACGCAAGCATGACCTTAAATCAAAACACAAATTATAGTTGCACTTCAAAACAGAATAATAGTTAAATTCATATGGATGTTTAAACATGTTTATTTTGAAAATTGGGATGAGTATCGCAGAAAAAAAACATGGATAGATAATTCAGATATTGAAAAGATTACTCAGCTATGAGGTATCTCTGAATACTAAAACGTACAATTGTCAATAAAAGAAAACCGGTTTTGGTCCTACAATCACACCTTCTCTAAGATTTTTTGTTGGCTTAATTTTTTTTTGTAAACATCCTAGTCTCGAGAACATGATTAGCCATTGGAGTTAGTATCAATCGCGTGCCATTGCAAAATCTATCCTTTAGATCAAGGTACCTAAGAAGCATAATTGGAGCACCAAGTTTTAAAACCAATATATGGTTAGAAAACCCAGAAATCTTGACCATATTCAAGAATTCCTTGGTGTATACTATGTCATCTGCATAATTTGTATCAAAAGTCTTGATACTATCAGCAAGGCATGTCCATTTTGGGACGAAAAATCGGTCCCAACGCATATCCATCCCGAATTTCTCATCTTATTCCCAATCGCGTTCAAATAATTAATCTCATGTCCGGGACTATATGCTTAACTCAAATGGATACGTAAAGGATCATGGAAAAGAGCGACAATGAGATAGGATAACTGAATTACCCGTTTAAAATTAAATTTTTTATAAATTAATAATATACCTAAAATTATCCAGTGTTCTAAATTTCATGAAATATCCATCCCAAAATTAACCCTTACCCAAATTCTTGAGAGTTTAAGAAGTGATCTTAGCTACTCTAATTTCCAAAACTCATCTCGTATTTAAATTTGTTATTTCATTTTTATATCAGAAACATTTTAGATAATGTTTTTCAATACCAGTTTAGGGATCGAGTAGTTTTTTTCATGAATAATATTTTTTTCTTAAGTTTTGCTAGCCTGCCTTCCTATGTTTTAAAGTTTAATCACATTAGTTTCACCAATTAAAAACGAAAAAAAAAAATTCTGAAAAACAAAGATATCATAATTATTAGAGGCCCTTTTAAATAATTTGTTTGTTGTAAATAATCCAAAACATTAAAAAGATGATGAGAAGAAGCAGTGGCGGATCTAGAAAAAATTTAGTTGGAGGCATAAATTTATAAACAGAAGAAAAAAATTAGTTGGGGGCAAAATTTTTGGTTTTTACCACTAAATTAAATTTATTTTAATTGAATTTACCTAAATATTTAAGAAAAAATAAAAAGAGCAGGGGGCACTTGACCCCGTTCCTCCTTTACTACATCCGCCCCTGAGAAGAAGGCCAACAATTAAAATAGTGAATGTGAAAAAGAGATTCTTCAACAAAGCAAAAAAGAATTGTAATAAAACTCTATTTTATGAAAATAAGTTGCAGCAAACACAATACAATTTTGTTGCTTATAAGGAAATATTTTGGTACTTCTAACTTGCTGAAGCAAGTCTAGATAAGATCATCAATATCCAGACATGTATTTCATCTCTACCACATAGTCCCAACTTTATAGAAATGTTCTCCATCATTATCCTCTAGCTTTCGTTCTATCTTATTCTTCTAGCTATGCGCTTTTGCGTTCATCCCAATATTCATGTCAAACCACCTTTGAAAAAACTACAAAGAGCAAAAGAGAAATTCGATATGCAGTGATGTTAAATAATGATATCTTCATATTTGAGTTTGTTTATAGCAGAAGTGATTAGATTTTAACAACCGACTATGTCATGTGGGTTATGGCAAACAAACATTAGAGTTCATTAAGTTTTAGTAAATGTCAGTTTTCATAAAATAAAATAAAAAAGTTTTTTAAAAATTGATGACAGGATAAAGTATCAAACTGAGTTTGATTGATCAAAAACTGGATAAAAATTATAATCAAACGGTACGATAAACTCTACATCGGTTTGTTTTAAGTGAGTTATACACGTTAGCGAAACATAATAATGAGACGCGTACACATATGATTATAAATATATTATTAAGGGTATCATTAAGGGTATTACTGATTTTCCACAGTTGAAACTCTCTAAAAACACGACACATCAGCAAAACATTGTGAAACTCTCTGTAGAACTGACACCTCAACAAATCACTACACAAATAAGTATATTTATTTATTTATCCGTCGTTAAACTACAATTGACCCGATGACCTAGTAACTTGAAATATATTCCGGTTTATTGTCCGAGTCGAGTTTAAAAACGTTGGATGTAGGAGAAGGCTAGAGATACATCTGATATTAGGTTGCCATAATAAATCAAAAACTCTAGATTTGTATGTTTTGCAGTCGCATTTTTCTGTTAGTTATCATCTTTATATCTTTAATTTAGCATATATATCGAAAGCTCTCGTCTCGCAAAAGGGTTCGCCCTAAAACTTTTCAGCCGCCAGCATCGTTTTGCCTCTCCGGCGGCCGGCGCTCCTCGCCACCGTCGGGAGGACCCCCCTCCCTTGTCCCTTTCCTCTTTTTCTCTTCCCTTTGTCTCGTTTTGGTCCATGTGCTGCTCGTTGAGTTTTTTCAGGTGGCTTCTCCCTCGACGGCGGTGCGATTCCGACGGTGTCGCTGGGGTCGCAGTGACAATGGTGCGTTGCCTCTGTTGGCCGGCGTTGCCACCTACTCCGCTGGTGGGCTGTGTCGAGCCCAATCTCCCTCTCTGGTTTCTGCAGGCAAGTTGAAGAGATCTGGTGTCTCGGCGGTGCTCTTGTGGGTCTGTTGTTGGCTTGGTGACAGCTGCGGCCGTCGAGCTTTTGGGCCATTGCTCTTAATGGCCGGTAAATCGAAGTGAACCAAGAGGCTAGAGCTATTCTTCTCCGGCAGTGCGAGGCGTGGAGCAATTGCCTCCTCGAGGCGGAGCGGTGTTGAGTGTGGCAGAGGTGGATCCGTCTCGCGACTATTCTGTTGACCCATACTGCTAGAGGACGGCGGTGAAGATCGGAAGAAAGCTGACTAACGACTACTCTGCAGATCTGTGATGCTGGAGGACGTCGAAGGAGATTAGAGGAAAGGAGTCATGGGTGGTAATTCGGTACGCATCGGAACCGAGGAGGTAATTCGGTGGGAAAGCACTGTATGTAGGGGTTTGCGGGAGTCGGTGATTCGGCACATGCATGGTGGCTGTGGGCTTAGCGGCCCGTAGTTTGCCTTCACACCGCTTCCTCCGTAAACCGAATCAAAAATTAGGTTTTGGGTTTGGTTTTACCTTTTTAATTTTGGTTCAATTCGATTGTAAATCCAGTTGATCTTCAGTTTGGATCGCAAATTTATATAATATCTATATTAAAAAAAATAATAATAAAAATAAAAAATAAATCAAAAACTCAACATTTACTTTATCACAATGCAAACGTAATTCATAATGACGATATTTTCACAATTCTGGAAAAATGGAATCTTATTCCCATATGTCTACTTTAGAAACACTTTGACTCAACTTTTTTGATATTCAAAACGTAAGATATCTTGAAATAAGATATTACCATTAATTCATTTGATTAAATTTTCGTAACCCTACCGATCTGCTATATATATTGACCAACTAGCAATGAAGAAAAATATCATCATATTGTTCAAGTAAAGATAACAAACAATACTCAAAATGAATGGTATTTGTCCTATCATTGATCTTAAATGTGAATTCTGCGACTGCTGCGGTATTTCGTGCCAATCTCGATTTCCAGGTATTGTTTTTTCTTTAAAGTATTATTTTCTGTTTTTTTTTTGTTTATAAAAATAACAGATAAGTTTGGACATGAAATATGCAAAATTTTAGTTCAAGTCATCAGTTTACTTAATTCATCTGTCAAAAATTGTCGTATACATCGTGATTAATATAAGTTTTTCTCCTTTCAAGATTTAGGTTAGGACTTCTCTCGAAAATGACAAGATTTGATTTGTATATAACTATATATATTGAAAAGATTAGATTTAATTTGTATATGTTAACCATCTTTTCTAAATATATACAAGTAAATTTGGATTTTCAAACAAAAGATCGGGGACAATAATTTGGTTTTACTTATACTAAATCTTGAATTGAAGTCATAAGTGATTGATGTCATTGTTATTTTTTGTTCAACAAGTCATGTCATAGGTTAAAACATTAATCTGGAATGACTGTGTGCAGGGATGAAGGTGGTATGGCCAGAACTAAAAGGAGTAAGTGGGCCTGTAGCCAAGAGAATAATAGAACATGACAATCCACATGTTACTTGTGTTATAATCACTGAAAATACTGGTGTGATACAAGTCTGTTGCTGTAACCGTGTCATTCTAGTAGTTCCCGTCGCTAACTGTCCCAACGGCCTTGTCCTTAACAGTCCTCAAATCGGATGATGATGTCGTGTAGTTCTTCTGCATGATTCAGTTTGATCTTTGTTTCGGTGATTTTCAATTGTTTTAGTGATTTTCAATAAGTTGTTCTGTTTTCTCCAATCAACAAACCTATTTTGTTGAACCTGTTTTTTTTTTTGGATCATGATTATGTTTAATCTTTAATTACAACAAACTTTCTACAATGTAGTCTGGTGCTATCGTTTACTTTGATTAATGAAAGTTTGAGTTATACACAAATATTTTCACATATTTATTTTTCAAAGATTTTTGTGTTGTTAATTAATTAAGTTTACATAGTTTAAAAATTAAACTATGTGATAATTAAGTGATAATTACACAGTTATACGTGATAATTAAGTTTATATATCAGTTACACGTGATCATGCCAGTATTGGCTTAATTCTTAAAACCTGTTCTTTACCATATGTTTTACGAAAACACGACCATAAAACTCTAATTAACTATTGTTTTTTGATAACCTAACATGTATGGGATGATCCAAAGGAATCTATCTACTCCATTTTAAATGAGATTATTTACGATCAAATTCGGCAAATATTTACAAACAAATCACGGAATAAAACTTGCTGAATAAAACGAAAACTCGATAATCAGTACCATGCACCACGATGACTAGATTCCAGCTTCATCATTAGCTAGCAAAACTTACGTACGCCTGCAAAAGGCCTTTAATTTAGATTAATTATATTAAGTTCTCTCAAGTTCTCTCTCACAACCACTAATGGAATTCTCTCCTTGTATCTCTTCAACAATGGAAAGCAAAGATTGAAAAGAGTGTGCTTAAGACTACTAGACCAGATTCAAAGACAATAAAATCTCAGAAGCATAGTTTGATATGATGTAGGAGCAGGCTGGAGATAAATCTGATATTATGTTGCCATAATAAATCCAAAAATCAACATCTACTTTATCTCAGTTCTGGGTGATAACAACTTGTTTGCAAACGTAATTCATAATGACGATATTTTCACAATTTGGAAAAAAAGGAACTTATTCCCATATCTCTATTTTATACACAATATTAGAAACACTTTTACTCAAACTTTTTGATAGTGTGAAACTGCAGAATTCGGGAATTATTTAACATATATTTTATATGTTTCATCTCAGTTGTGATGTGAGATTATTAAAATATAGTTGTCTGATTTATAATCACATTTTTCTTATACACTTTGAAAGATATTAAGGTAGACAGTATTTCGATTGAGTCAACAAGTGGAAGCTTCCATGATTATCATAAGGGTTTGATAGAGTACTGAACAAATGATTGATGCAAATTAGAAAAAAAAAATGTTCCAGAATCAGACGAACCATATAAAGGGTTCACTTGATCAGTTGACGAAAAAACTTTTAACCAATTAAAATTCAGAGCAATGCACAAACACACACCCACATATATATTTAGATGGGTTTAAAAAAATCCAATAGATAATATTCAAGTTTCATCGATTTTCAGAGCTGTCATTTCTCTAGCTGGGTTTCAATTCTTCTGTTAATAAACATCTCGGTGAGAAGAATGTTTTCTATAGGGATCAACTTTTAGTTTCAAGAACACTACATTAAAGATTAAATATTTCAAGATTTGTTTGCAGATATTAAGTATTTCAGATAGTTTTTCAAGATTATCACAACTCAAGGATTAAGTATAGTGGCTTGAAGATGAATAGCAGTGAGGATCAGAGATGTATAGAGAATCTGTAGGAGGTTAAAGTAGAGAGGGAGAAGCTTATAAGTGAGAAACAGAGCTTAAAGCGAGAAGAAAAATGGGAAATTGTTGAAGTAACAGGGGAAGAAGAAGTTTTCGATGGGCTTTGTAAAAGAAACGATGAAGATTTATACAGTGGAATACAAATTGGAGTCCGTTGCATATGATACGAGATAGGGTTGTGTTGTATAGCAACAGGGCACATTGTTGCTTGTTGTTGAAGAAAGCTGAGGCTGCCATTAGTCTAATGGGTACAGACGAGGTTCTTTCTTGTTTCTAGGAATGGCTATTGGGCCCAAGCCCAAAACCAAATTGGTTCGAAATGGCTAAAAAAGGCTCTTAAATGTAATTCATTTTTGATTTAATAATAAATTTAATTTTCTTAACCCTACCGATCTGCTATATATATTGATCAACTAACAATGAAGAAAAATATCATCATATTATTCAAGTAAAGATAACAAACGATACTCAAAATGAATGGTATATGTCCTCTCATTGATCTTAAATGTGAACCCTGCGACTGCGCTGGCATTTCGTGCCAACCTCTATTTCCAGGTATTGTTTTCTCTTTAAAATTTACTTTTCCTTTTTTTTTGGTCTATAAATTAATGGATTTTGAGTTTGGACATAGAAATAGGCAAATTTCTAGTTCAAGTCATCAGTTTGCTTAATCAAAATTATCGTATAATTTTTTTCTCCTTTCAAGATTTAGGTTAGGACTTCTCTCGAAAAGAAGAAGATTTAATTTATATAACTATATATATTGAAAAGTTGTATATGTTAATTGTTAACCATTTTTCAAAAAAATACACAAGTAAATTTGGATTTTTGAATAAAAGATCGGGGGCAATAATTTGTTTTACTTATACTAAATCATTTTTTTTACTTATACTAAATCTTGAATTGAAGATTAGATATATGTCATTGTTTTTTTTTTGTTCAACAAGTCATGTCGTAGGTTAAAAAATTAATGTGGGATGACATGTGTGCAGCCTGCAGGGATGAAGGTGGTATGGCCAGAACTTAAAGGAGTAAGTGCGCCTGAAGCAAAGAGAATAATAGAACATGACAATCCACATGTTACTTGTGTTATAATCACTGAAGATACTGGTGTGTTACAAGTGTGTTGTTGTAACCGGGTCGTTCTAGTAGTTCCCGTCGCTAACTGTCCCAACGGCCCTGTCCTTAACAGTCCTCAAATCGGATGATTATTTCAGTTTACTGATCTTTGTTTCAGTAATTTTCAATAAGTTGTTCTGTTTTCTCCTACTTTGTTGAACCTACCTATGTTGTTTTTGATCTTTCTACCAGTTGTTTTTGTTTTCTCGAATAAAGGAAATGTAGTCTGGTGATGATCCAATCTATATTAAAGGCCATTTTTTAAATGCTATTAGTTATGATCAAATTCGGATAAATATTTAATTTCAACCTAATCACGGAATACTAAACTTGCTGAATCAAACGAAAACTCGATATTCAGTACCATGCAAACTCGATATTTAGATCAATTTCTGCACCGTTTCATGATGATCAGTCTTAAAACTTTGAAGTTGTCACTCTCAATAACGAGAACGGTCACGAAGATAAGAGAGAACTGCTCAAGAAGACGGAAAGAAACTAACAACGGATGGTGTTGAGATTGAAGTTGTTATAATTTAACAAAATGTTTAAAAACATGTTTCAGAGTAAAGAAGAGTTACATGTAGTTTTGTACGTTTTATTGAAAAAGTTTATAAGCATATTCTTTTTTGAATTCAATCTCGCCGTTCCATTCCATCTCTGGTCCATTACACTTAAGATATAACCATAAAGTACATATTTATGTTTTTTTTTCAACGATTTAGTCTCTAGTCAACAGTCTTGCAATTGATTAAGCTTCCTAATTTAATAATCAAATCGTTGTTAAGTTTCCTAAGATAAAAAATCAAATCGTCATTTGAGGATGTATTAACATATCTTAGAGATACTAATAAATAAATTTTGATTCGCGAATTGATTGAGGTTTCCTAATCTTATGTATCGGCTATATATAAATAACCCAAAATGAAGAAAATATCATCATATTGTTTTAAGTATTATATAACAAAAAAAAAAGAAGATTGCAAAAATGAACGATAATTGTCAGATTCTTCGTCTCCGGTGTGAATACTGTGACTGCTCTGGTATTTCGTGCCAATCTCGATTTCCAGGTATTGTATTATCGTGCAACGTTGTTTTTGTTTTTTTTTTTCCGATAAAATAGTGGAGTTTGAGTTTGGACATACAAGATATATATGATATATGGACCCATAAGGTATAAAAGATTTAGTCTAAACCATAATCAATTTGTTTAATCTGACAACTTTTTCGTGTACAGTATAATTATAATTTCACTTCTATTATTAAAAAGTTAGGATCCTTCACATGATATTTTTTTTTTACTTATATACGTATTGAATAAAAGACATAAGAAATACAACTGCACAAGAAGATTTTTCAATAATTTTTTTTTCTAGACTAATTACAAACAAAATTCTTAATATATATTTCAATATTTGAATTTGATATAATAAGTTTATGTTATATGATAAATGGTTATTATTTGTTTTAAATCCATATTGGTACCATTTAAAGTTATATATTACAGGATTGATGTTGGGATGATTGTGTGTAGGGTTGAAGGTGGAATGGCCAGAACTAAAGGGAGTAAGTGCACCTGAGGCAAAGAGAAAAATAGAAAATGACAATCCACATGTTACTTGTGTTATAATCCCTGAAGATGTTGACGTCTTAGCAATCAACTGTTGTAACCGTGTCCTTCTCCGTGTCCTTGTCGGGAATTGTCCCAACGGTCCTGTCGTTAACAGTCCAAGAATCGGATGATATGATGAACCCTATCCTATGCATGTTGTTACTCTTCATGATTATGTTTTGACTTCAACAACTTCCTATAAGTTGTTTTGTTTTCGCGAATAAAAGATATGTAGTCTGGTCATATGGTTTCTTTTGAATAACAAAAAAAACTTGAGATATTATTGAGTTATATTTTAGCATATTCATTTGGTCAAAAATCTTGTGTATTTTTCGAATAAAAATTAATTATTTTTCTTTTCTTGGTAACAAATTAAGTTTATATAAGTTTACACAGTTACACGTGATCATATTGGGCATGTATATATTGGTTAATTCTTGTCTACCCAAGAACAAGAACACAAGAAGACGGAAAGAAACTAACAACGAATGGTGTTGAGATTGGAGTATCTATACATACACATACATACATAGATACAGTAGCAAACATATGCTATTTATACTAATTGAGGTGTAGTTTTCAGGATTGTTTTGGTTTTGGTTATAATTTAGAGGTCTGAATTAGTTTGGCTCTTACACTGAGCTTTTAAAAAGGCGGCTACTTAAATCTCTTGCTATCAATAGTAGGATCATATGTCGATTGTTCTGATATCCATTGCTTCGTCATTATCTTAAATCTCTAAAACTTATGAAACATATAATTTAGAACAGTACATATTCATGAAAGATATTATTAAGCTAGCTAGTATCAAAGGACATCATCAAAGCGTTAGTGGATAGTCAGATTACTTCTAACTTAAATATTGTAAAATCATCGACTCGTTTACTTTTCAAATTAACTTGATAGGTTTTCAACCAATAAAAATTCTACAAAAGTTTGAAAATAGATGCAAATACTCGGATCAGGTAAACTTTTGGAGTTAAAGACATTTAACATCACTTCTTTAAAGAAAACAAAGAACCTTATCGGAGAAAAATCCACCAGTTTCACATACTCAGAGACGTCTCTATTGAGTTCTCATTCTGCTGCTTTCTGCTGCCCTGACTTGCGCGAAATATGGATGAGCCTGTCAATTCATAAAAGTGTCAAACATAGCTAATATTAATCTCCTTCTCATGATCATTAATCTAACAAAAACAAGTTTCTGATCATAAGCAGACTAAGAAACATCACTCGCTGAATTATGTGCTGATACGTACCATTGCTTCTTTAGCAGTTAATCTGTCTTGATGATCATACCGGAGTAGCTTGTCCAGGTAATCAATTGCCTACAGGTAAGAAAAGATGCACACAAATTAAACCTCAGGAGAAAAATCTTGGCAAAAAGACAAGTTGTTGGTGTGTCAACAAGAATTAAGAGAACAAGTAAACCTCAGGTGAGACCAAATGCCGATTGTCGGCATTGATGAATTTGGACCAAGGCTTCCTGCTATGTCTGTGGAAATAGCCCAAAAAGTCATGACGGAGAGAATCAGTCATTGCCATTACTCTAATCTTACTCTTATACTATCGAGGATATGTGAGTTCTGCTTACCTCCCAACAAGTGCTTCTAATTGAGCATCGAGTTCTAACTGATACTTGTTCAGATATGCATTCAGTTCATCGGTTCCAAGGACCTGAAGTCAAGATTCAAAAACATAATACTATTAAGATGTGAAAAAAGCAACTTCATGCCTTCTAATCCCTATACTCGCTAAAGGAAACGAGCATGATAAAGTTCAGCACAAAGTTAAATTACCTTGGCAATTTTGACGAGCTGATCCTGGTTGTCATGGCCATAGAAGAAAGGTTCCTTGCGGAATATCTATAAGGGAAGATAACTACAAATCAGATGACCATGGATATTTATGGAAACATTCTGAAATTGAATCTGACCAAAGAAAGCCTTGCAAATTTGCAAGGGACTCACCATCCCAGCAAACATGCAACCGAGGCTCCACATGTCCAAGGAATAGTCATAGTCCTGTAAATCCACTAGAAGTTCGGGTCCCTTGAAGTATCTGATATAGGAAACAACATTTGATTAAAGCTTGGTTGCGGTTAAAGACTGCATATTGTAATTGGTCTAAAAAAATAAGATAGCAACCCATGTTATTTTGAAGTCGCCTATCATACCTTGAGGCCACACGTACGTTATACTCTTTTCCAGGATGATAAAACTCAGCGAGACCCCAATCTATTAGGCGGAGTTTGCGAAGCTCATGGTCGATCATGACATTGTGTGGCTTGACATCTCTGTGCATTATACCTTGTGAGTGGCAGAAGTCCAATGCCTGCAGCATGTCAAAGAAAAATTTCAAGGTTATCAATAAACCTTAATTTGTTTTGGAACCGAGAAAATTCCATAAAGATCAAAAGTCGTGATGGATAAATAAATTACCTTCAACAGCTCATAGATGTAGTATCGGATGTCATAATCAGTCAATGTAGGATACAGAACTTTAAAGTCTGTGCTGTTAACATACTCAAATATCAAGCTTGGGGTTTTTGAGTGTTGATCTCTGACAACATCAAGCAGCTTGACAATATTTGGCCCTCCACAGAGATTCTGAAGTATTTTAATCTCTCTTCTAATCTGTTAAAGGATCATAAATAATCAGAAAGGCAACCCAAAAACAAAACTAAGCAGAGGGAAACTCGCATTGCAAAAGAAACAACAACATTCTTTGCTCATGAAGTAATGTAGACAATCACCTTCTTTTTCTTGACAGGCTTGAGAATCTTGATTATGCACTTCTCGTTATTGTTCATGTTTATCCCCTCAAAAACCTCACTGTATTTCCCACGCCCCACTTTCCTGACTACCTCGTAATCATCTTGCTCCCTGAGAAGGAAACACAAAAAACAAAAAGCTCGAAACTTTTACTAAAAGCATCATCACCAATCAAGATCAGATCATATGCAGGACGAACAAAATAACTCTCCTTAAACAGATCAAAAATCAAGCAGCTAAAAAAAGCTCAATTTCTCCATTACTTTGTATCACTTCCATAACATTCGATTTTAGCTGGGACAGAATCTAAAGCTTGAAATCAACAATCATGAGTTAAAAAGCAGCAAAAAAGTGAGCTAAAATCGAAAGATCAGGTCCTGCTATAATCTAAATTTCCGTCTGATCTCGATTAAACATGAAACCCGATAATCCCATTATGAGTGACGGCTATAGCAGCAACCAAAAAAAAGGAAGAGCTCCTAGGGTTTTCCTAATTTCAGGAACAACGATCTTACCCCCACTGAACATTGAGCGACTCGTAATCCCAATACTCCTTGGGTCGGATCACGTTAACGTCGGTATAAACACGAGCTTTCGACATCGCTCGCGGGACGCTGGAAAGAGAGATCTCGTCGAGAGAATCCGGATCGAGGCGAGAATCGAACCTGCTACCGGTGACGTCTGGATCAAAGGTTCCGGTGGTGACGACGGTGGCCGGTAGGATAGGGAAATGCGCCAACGGCGCACGCAATATGAAGATGGCGCACAAAATCAGGAACCGTCGAAGAGATGCCAAGAGAAAGTAGGAGAAGAAGATTAGGCGCATGTAATCATTCAGTGCACTCTCCCACTCTAGATTATTTCCCTTTTAGTGGCATACACTAATTTATGGTATAAAGTTATTGATTGGATTTTTCTATTTTATGAGAAAAACAAATTAGGATTTTTCAACAAAACGGTGCGTTTTGGCTCAACCCTAAACAGCTTCAAAGCCGTTTTTGTTTTTCATCATCGTCATCATCTCTCTGCGCCTCTCTCTCTCAAACTCTCAGGTAAGCTTCTTCTATTTTCTTCTTGTACCAATAGTGCTTTCGCGTCGTTTCTAGACTTAGTTTCGATGGTTTAGATTGATAGATAAACCTTAATTGAAAAAAAATTTAACCTTTAATAGTAATCGGAATTTTATCGTTGTCTAGTTTTTGCGCCGAATTAATATCGCTGTGACTTAGAAACCCTAATTTTTCTGTGCAAACCCTCAGAATCTCGAAGAAATCAGTAAAAAATGGGGAAGAAGAAGTTCATCGATAAGAAAAAGGCGGCGACTTTCGAGTTATGTCCTCGCGATACGTCAGACCCAAGATACAGTGACTCACCGGGCGGTGATAAGATCTTCTTACGAGTCGATCAGAACCCTGTAAACATCAATGGTTTCATTGAAGAAGAAGAAGACAACTCGCAGTTCGAAGATGCCCCTGAAGATTTGGATTATGGTCACTCCAGTTTTGGGGATTCGAGTAATCCTCTACCTGCTCATGTGAGGAAGGAGATTCTGGAGTTAGGGTACCCTGATGATGGATATAATTACTTGGATCATTTGAGAGAGATTAAGAACACTGGTGGTGGTTCTAATTTCTATGCTAACCCCAAGTTTGAGCTTGATCAGCTACCTCGTGATGTCAAGGCCTATGATGCTTCACGTGTTAAGATCTCTGGTATGGTGAATGAAGAAGCTAATGACAAGTCGATGTACACTGTGGCCTCAAAGACTGTAAACGTCAAGGTGCAAAAAGCTATTGATCCTGAAGTGGCTGCGTTGCTTGAAAACAGTGATGGATCTGAGTTTGGTTCAGATATTGAGGATTTGGAAGAAGATTTTGTTATTCAAGCTAATCTTACTCAACAGGGAGAAGCTTCTGGTGTGAGCAATAACGAGCTCGAGTTTTCAGAAAGACCCGAGGCAAGAGGTAGAGAAAGTGTTGAGTCGACTGATAAACCTGTTGCTGAAAACCCGAGAGTTCCTCGTCAGATTGATGAGCTATTTGATCAGCTCGAACTCAATGAATATGGCAGCGACAGTGACAACGGTGGTTACATGGCTGAAGATGGAGAAGAAGAGGATTTTACCGCTCAAAGCGTTCACAATCTTATTTATGAGAAGCCGAAAGATTTTGAGCTTGAAGTAAAATATATGAACCCTGCGGATATATTGAAGAACAGTGACTCTGTAAAAGACAAAGAAGAATTGGACTCTGCTGCTCATATTATCCGTCGCTGTGTAGAGTACGGTGAGAAATACGATAACGGGATTGAAGATGAATTTGTAGAGGTGGTTGAAGAAAGCAGCGATGAAAGCGAGAAGTGGGATTGTGAAACCATAGTCACGACATACTCGAATCTTGATAACCACCCTGGTAAAATCTATGCTCCAGAGACAACTAGGAAGAAGAAGCTGAGTGAAACAGTAGCTAAAGCAATGAGTATGTCAAATGGTAAAATCATTACCCTCCAAGGGAAAGAGAAGCTACCGGTCGAGTTTTTACCCGGTAGGAAAGCTGAACAAACCGTTGTCAAAGCGGCTATCCCAAAAGCTGAACCGGTCAAGAGGAAGACTCATGGGCAAGAGTCGAAAGAAGAGAAGAAAGAGCGGAAAACTGCTGTAAAAACCGAAAGGCGAGAAGCGAGGAAGATGAAGAAAGAGACGAAGGAGCTTTATCGCGGTGAAACGCAGCGTGCTCAGAGAGCTGTTGCTGTTTCTGGTCCATCTTCGATTCATCTATAAGGCTAAAAACATAACATTCTCAGAGGCTGTTAGTTAAAAAACCAGGTTTTTTTTTTTATCATTCCGTGTAATATCTTCTCTGTTTTGTTCTTTCATCAAAGATTTGAATCTTTTTTTGGATGTGGACGTCTTTAATATTATTATTTATTAATACTTTTTACTAGTCAATTATCGAGAAAGTGATAGAGCAAAAGACACCATTTATAGCAAAGATTAACTTGTCGCTCAATCAGAAATTCAATTATCAAACGAAATATTTTTTTTCTGGTAATAAAAACTTGTAGGGATACAAGATATATGTTCTGTCACAATATCCAACATGTGCAGCTTAATTATTCTCCCTCTCTTTTCTTATTTAGTCTTCATGAATCTTCATGTTCTACATGGACCATAAACTTTTGGAATTATTGATAGTCGAAAAATTTGAAAATCTCGAAATTTGGAGTAAGAAGCAAAACAATAGAAGATTGATGTACCTTCGTGGTAAATTCTATCATTCCTTCACATGTTTTTTGGTAACATAAAAATTTTGCTAGTTTCACAGTTAAAGTAGTCCAGTCACTATTTGGCGGTGAGATCAATCAAAGGTTTTATTTGCCTTATTATTTAGCTTATTACGAAAAGACGTTTCAGATCCAGAAGGTGCCCTACCTCTCTGACGTTTTATACTCGAGGAACAGTCTCGATAAAATCTTGAGCTTTTTTCTTGTTAATTACGTAACTACCCTTCATCCCTCTTCCCCTCGTGCACTCGATGACAGGGTCTTTCGTGGTTTCATTTAAGGAAATTAGATTAGCGAAACTTTTAGTGGATCATATTCTTCATCGTCTCTTTTGATTGCGTGTAAAGATTGCAACTTGAAATGATCTCTCTCTCTCTCTCTCTGAAATAGTTCTCAGGTTGATTTCTTGAACAGGAAGAAACTGATTGCAAAGTGTTTATCAAATGTCCGCAAAGCAGGAGCTTATGTCCTTAGCCATGAAGAGAACTAGTGAATGGTTTCTCATTCTGTTTCTAACATTTTTTTCCTTTCTCAATTTTGATCTTCTGATTTGCAGTTCCTCTGTTTCTGATTTCAAAATCAGTATTCAACTTACTTTTTGTAAAAGAATAAAAATATTTCGTTTCTTACAAAATTGGTTTCAGGATATCTTCTCAGGAAATTCCTTGTGACATCGCTGTTCATATAGGAGAGACTTCGTTTTCACTTCACAAGGTGACTTTTTTTCTAGATCTAATACTACACAATGAGATGTTTTTACACAGGGTCTCTTTCTCTCTCATTATCTGCAGTTTACAGTTGTGTCAAAATGTGGGTTTCTAAAGAAACTTGCTTCCGAAACAAGCAACGATTCCAACATCGCCGTAATCAAAATCCCAGATTTTCCCGGAGGTGCAGAAGCATTCGAGCTAGCAACCAAATTCTGCTACGGAATAAACTTCGAGATGAACACAGAGAACATTGCAATGCTGCGTTGCGCAGCAGAGTATCTAGAGATGACAGAGGAACACTCTGTTTCAAACCTCGTGGAGACAACAGAGGTTTACTTGAACGAAGTGATCCTCAAGAGTTTATCGAATTCGGTTAAAGCTCTGCGAAAATCTGAGTGTTTGTTGCCTATGGCCGAGAGAGTGAAGCTCGTGAGCCGTTGTATAGATTCAATATCCTATGTAACTTGTCAGGAGAGCCAGAGCAAGGAGGATATAGTTGACTGGTGGGCTGAGGATTTAGCTGTTCTAAGGATTGATATGTTTCAACGTGTATTGATTGCGATGATGGCTAGAGGGTTTCAGCGTTACGCGCTTGGTCCAGTGCTTATGCTATATGCTCAAAACGCTCTTAGAGGGTTGGTGAGATTCTTGATTTTGTAACAGTGCAATGTGTCATTTTTACTACTTTCAGAGAAAGCTTTCATGAGATTTCGGTTTTTTATATCTGCGGAAAATGCAGGAGATTTTTGGGAATGGGACGAAGAAGACGGAGGCAGAGCAAGAACATGAGAAAAGGGTGATTCTTGAAACAATTGTTAGTCTTCTTCCGAGGGAGAGAAACGCAGTTTCAGTGAGCTTTCTTTCGATGCTTTTAAGAGCTGCGATATACCTCGAAACCACGGTAGCTTGTAGGTTTGATTTGGAGAAGAGAATGGGATTACAGTTAAGACAGGTCGTGCTTGATGATCTCTTGATTCCTTCTTACTCATTCAACGGAGACAACACAATGTTTGATGTTGATACTGTTCAACGCATCCTCATGAATTATCTTGAGTTTGAAGTTGAAGGAAACTCTATTAGTTTTGCCACTGATATCGGTGAATTGATGATGACTTATCTGGCTGAAATTGCTTCTGATAGAAACATAAACCTGACGAAATTCATCGGGTTAGCTGAATGCATTCCTGAACAGTCTAGGATTACTGAAGATGGGATGTATCGAGCCATAGACATCTACCTTAAGGTACAAGTATGAAACTTTTGTTGCTTATAGCTTCTAACATCTGTAGATCATGTGACCCGCATCTTGAAAAGTTCAAAAGATTTTGTCTTTTACATAATTTTATGAAACCCCTTAACTTGAAACTAGAAAATGTTGTTAAAATCTTGTTGTGCAGGTGCATCCGAATATAAGTGAAATGGAGAAGAAGAAACTTTGTAGCTTAATGAACTGTAAAAAGCTATCGCAAGAAGCTTGTGCTCACGCAGCTCAAAACGAACGTCTCCCTATAAAAACCGTAGTTCAAGTTCTCTACAACGAGCAACAAAGTCTCCGCCAAGTTCTAAGTGATTCAGATTCTTCAGCAGCTGCAACCTCATCAGAGACTCTTTATCCTTTTAAGCTAAGCTCCTACAACAATGAGCTCTCCATACTAAACCGCGAAAACCAAGAATTGAAGCTTGAGTTGCTCAAGGTGAAAATGAAGGTCAATGAGTTGGAGAAGGATAAAGATTATGAAGTCATGAGTGGTTCGGATTGGTCTCCGGTTACAACTGCTTCGGTGGTTAAGCCTCCATTACCGAGAAAGTCAATTATAAGCTCTGTCTCTCGGAAACTCGGAAAGCTTAACCCTTTTGGCCTCACACAAGGACGAATCAAACCACCTAAAGACCGAAGACATTCTATTTCTTAGAAACAATCCATAAACACTTGTCCTTGTTGCTGAGAAAAAAAAAAGAGTTTTCTCTGTATCAAAATATGATTTGATGTTTGGTTGTGTATAGAGAGCGCCGAGAATATGTTGAGTTTCGATGTGTGGTGTAATCTTAAAGTCATAGAGCAATTCTCATTTTAAAAATTCCATATTTTTTCTTCAATATTAGGGATACACAATACAAATGTAAAGCATCTGTCCCCTTTCTATTAAAATTTCTTCATTCCTTTGTTTTTCGGCCAAAAAAAATTCTTCATTCCAAAACATGAATTTCTCATCAATAATTTTATGGATTACATTGATCTTGTTTAGACAAAAGCAACATACGTTGAGTTTTAGAGTTTATTCATGCAACACCGGAAGTAATGTAATTAATAATTCCGAAACTTTACCAAATTTTACTTTATAAAAATATTGTTTCTTCCTCATTTAAATAGGTTTTTCTTTCTTTCATATCTTATCCCTAAATCTTGAAATCTAAAACTTTATCAGTACATCATAAATATATCAAAAACTTGTCGAACATCATTAAAGTTTAAGTCCATGTTACTTCATGACGTAGTGCATGGAAATTTATTTATTGTTGACTTTCTACCCTAGTCTTTGTTTTTAATTTTTTAGTTTTCTTTTTTTTCTTTCAATTTTTTAGTTTTCGATTAAACGAATCAGTCTTTGTTTTCAATATATCGCTCTAATTAGTTTTCGATTTAATATGTAGTCAATTTCAGATAATGTTTTTTTTTAAATAAGGTTTACTCTGTAATCGTATTGTGGCGATGAGTATCGATGCATGTTATAATTTTCTAAGACTTTGACTTTGGATATCATCATCAATCACCTCTGCCTATTTAGAACCATTCGTCTCCCAACTCTTTCTTTCATCTGCAAGAAGAAACAAAAAAAAAAAGGAAACAATGGAGAAATCAATAGAGATGCAAAACGACGTCGTGGTAATGCTAGCGAGGCATGTCATCGCCACCGTTGCCAACGGCTCCAACCTTGTCTTTTCACCAACGTCAATCAACGTTTTGCTCTGCCTCATTGCCGCCGGTTCTAATTGCATCGCCAAAGAAGGAATCCTCCCATTCCTCATGTTGCCCTCATCGGATCACCTCAACGCAGTCTTGGCCAAGACTGTATCCGTTACACATTCCAATGGCAGCAAGAGAAGCAATGTGCGTTTCTCTGCGGCTTATGGCGTCTGGATCGATAAATCTGTGTCCTTCAAGCCTTCCTATGAAGACCTATTGGATAACTCCTACAACGCTACTTGCACTCAAGCTGACTTCGCATTCAAGGTGCCTAGCTCTTGTTGACAACTTTTGACGTCAAAACTACTTAACAATTAGTGGATGGACTCGTATTCTATAGGTACATAATAGTAACATCGCAATTTCTCCTTTGCTAAATTGAATGATCTGTCAATGTTTTATTTGCTTATTTTGAAGCCTGGTGAAGTGATTGATGATGTGAATACATGGGCTAAGTATCAAACCAATGGAGTCATCGAGCAGATTCTTTCACCGGATTCTACCGAGGCTATCCGTGAAAGCAAACTCATACTTGCAAATGCAATGTATTTCAAAGGAGCTTGGAGCAATAATTTTGATGCATGGTTGACAAAAGATTACTATTTTCACCTTCTTGATGGCTCATCTGTGAAAGTACCCTACATGACCAATGACGAGGACCAATACCTAGAAGAATATAGTGGTTTTCAAGTTTTGCGTCTCCCTTATCTTGAGGATCAACGTCAATTCTCCATGTATATTTATCTCCCTAATGATAAAGACGGATTACCTGCGCTGCTTGAGAAAATAGGGTCCAAACCAGGGTTTCTTGATTATCATATTCCACGCCACCGTGTACCAGTGAGAGCTTTTAGAATTCCAAAGTTTAAGTTCTCTTTCGAGTTTGATGCTGCATATGTTTTAAAGAATATGGGGCTGACTTCGCCGTTTAATACTACTGGTGGAAGTACTCTAACCGAGATGGTTGATTCCCCTTCCATGGCTGAGGATCTATACATCTCAAGAATTATTCATAAAGCTTCCATTGAAGTTGATGAAGAGGGAACTGAAGCTGCAGCCGTTTCTGCATCCATGATATTAACGAGCTGTTCGGCATATGAATCGAGAAAACCAGATTTCGTAGCTGACCATCCATTTCTATTCACAGTGAGAGAAGACAAGAGTGGACTCATTTTGTTCATGGGTCAAGTTCTTGATCCTTCAAGACATTGATTGAACTATGTACTTCTGGTGTGGCCGTGTGGGAGTATACATTAAGTAACAAAACGTTACGTTTGTTGTGTGATGAGGCGGCACATGCCGTTGATCATTGGAGAACCACATGTATTGATTTCCGTCTTTTGATTTTAATGTTATGCAAATAACTAAAGTGATGCTCCCTTGGTCTCTAGGAGCAGGATTACTTCACGTTCACTTTTTCATGATGCATATTTCTTTCCAACTTTCGTGATGCATATTTCCTCACAATAAGATGTTTTTGTTATGCATATTTCCAACTTTTTTTGCTTCGTCTTTTTACTGCTTTGTGTCTAAATGTAAAGTTGATTGTTCACTCATGAATTGTACACGTCTTATGTTAGTTTTAGTCCCAAATATCTCAAATCTTCTTACTGAGTCTTCATTTTGTCGAAAACCTTATAGGCTTTGTTGTCTTCTATCAATACTTACTTTCATAGCTAGCTAGAAAGAAAAGTGGCTTCATTATTAACTTGATCGATTCTAAGATTCAACTCCCACTACTGCGATTCTTAGAATATCTGTGAGTATAGGTGCTGCCAAATTTTAGGCACATACTAGACCATCGCAACTTTTGGTATAGTTCAATTCCGTAACAAGTTGGTTAGGGCAAATAATGGATCTTTTCAGAATCCGAGGACCCTAACATCAATGCCCTTAAATATGAAAATGTGTGTTTGCATCATCATCGGCATACTGAGCACCACAAAGAAGGATATCAGGATTCCGCTGTTGCGTTCGACTGAGATGTTTCGACGCAAAGTATTGTGATTTGATCGTTGAGTTCCATAGCCTCGAAACGGATATGAATCTAAGGAGAGATTTCACGGGAAGTCTCTGTAAGATGTCTTCTACAAGAACATAGGGCAGGAGTTCCATAGCGTTATATATCTTCTCTCCTTCTTTCCATGGGTTCGAGCTTTTAGGGTTTTTTCTTTCTTTTCTATATTATTCTTACTTGCTTCTACAAAAAAAATATGCATGTATTTTGATTAGGAGGTCTAACCCCATATATCTCAGATCAAGTTACTTGATTGGTATGTTTATTATATATATATATATATATATATATTTCGTTAAGATTTGGTTTGAGATTTTAGGTGAAAATATATTATAACTGTTGGATAGGATGGAAACTCTGACTAATTTATAGCGTGTACAGGAAGTTAAATCTGGTTAATACTTAATATGTAGCGTGTATAGAAACTTTCTATTATATTTATATATTTTTGTTGCCAAATTTCAAGATTATGTACCCTGTTTTTGGAATATTACTTTCAAACCAGTCGGTTAATTAATTGCTATTTCGTAACTATAAAGAAAAGGAAATTATCACTTCTTTTTTATAATCCAAGTTTCCAGTTACTTCTTTGACAATCATCATCAGGTGACACGAACGAACGAACGATGCCGGTGAAGCTATCATATGATTTGGAAGAGGAAATCCTCTCGAGAGTTCCATTGAGATCTCTTGCGAGGTTGAGATGTGTATGCAAGCCTTGGAACAGTCTGATTTTGGAAGAGAGACTCATCAAGAAGAACTTGTCTCGTATGCACAACAACAGCTATAGCGGTGAACATCGGTTTATAGTCAAAGACTTGGGTCCTAAGATTTCTGCCGTGGGCATTGAGGAGGAGCAGCAAAACATGTCTTTGATCATCCAAGACCTTACCCTTTCAAAAGTTCGACCAGAAGTCAGACCAATTAGGGTGTACAATATTGTTCATTGCGACGGTCTTTTGTTGGTTGTCATGGACAACCAGCTTTTGGTTTGGAACCCTTTACTCAAGGAAACGACATGGATCAAATGTGGCAGCGACTTTCACAGGTTCGATGATGCTTACAGCCTTGGATACCTAAGCCATTGTGATTACAGGATCTTAAGGTTTCGATGTGCGTCTACCAATACCAGAACTAATAGACCTCGACCTCAAAGAGTTGAGGTCTGCCAAGTCGCATCTAAGACATGGAAGGTTATAGATATGATGAGTTTTGATTGGACCATCAAAGTACCATTGTCCATTCTCTCTTTGAGAGGAACTCCTTATTGGATTGGTAATCGAGATGAAGAAGAAGAAGATTATTCTTCGGCTGCTCTCGTACAAAGCTTTGATTTTTCAAGAGAAAGGTTTCATACCATAGACCACCTACCATTCAGGTATGATGAGTTAAATCCTATTGCACTAGAGATTTATAAAGGAGATCGGCTTTCGGTGTTAGAGCAATGTCACAAAACAAGGAAGATATGCATATGGGTCAAGCATTGGCTCATGCTACCTTCTTGGACCAAATTGGTGGTCGTGGACATACCACACTTTCCACTGTTATATCAACATCACAGCCGCCTCGATCCATATCTCAGCCAGCTATCGACAAAATATTTTTTCGACAAAAACAATAGGCTCGTCATAACTTCTGCTGACGACCATGATGGAATAACTATCAACAGAGTCATCAACCACAAGGATTTCCAAGCAATCAAAGCCAATGAAAGTGAAGTTCTTTTTCCTTATTTATGCAACTATGTTCCTAGCTTAGTTACGGTTCCTGGATTTTCGAAACAAGACACAAGTCGGATTCGGTGGAGAAAAACCAGATTCAACTAGTTTAATGAACTGTCAAAGGCTATCGCAAGAAGCTTGTGCTCACGCAGCTCAAAACGAACGTCTCCCTATAAAAACCGTAGTTCAAGTTCTCTACAACGAGCAACAAAGTCTCCTCCAAGTTCTAAGTGATTCAGATTCTTCAGCAGCTGCAACTTCATCAGAAACTCTTTATCCGTTTAAGCTAAGCTCCTACAACAATGAGCTCTCCATACTAAACCGCGAAAACCAAGACTTGAAGCTTGAGTTGCTCAAGGTGAAAATGAAGGTCAATGAGTTGGAGAAGGATAAAGATTTTGAAGTCATGAGTGGATCGAATTGGTCTCTGGATTCAACTGCTTCGGTGGTTAAGCCTCCATTACCGAGAAAGTCAATTATAAGCTCTGTCTCTCGGAAACTCGGAAAGCTTAACCCTCTTGGCCTCACACAAGGACGAATCAGACCACCTAAAGACCGAAGACATTCTATCTCTTAGAAACAATCATAAACACTTGTTCTTGTTGCTGATTTTCAATTCCTTTGCAAAAAAGAGTATTCTCTGTATCAAAATATGATTTGATGTTTGATTGTATATAGAGAGCGCCGGGAATATGTTTGAGTTTTGATGTATGGTGTTATCCTAAACCTCTCATTCCTCATGTTGCCGTCATTGGATCACCTCAACGCAGTCTTGGCCAAGACTGTATCCGTTACGCATTCCAATGGCAGCAAGAGAAGTAAGGTGCGATTCTCTGTGGGCTGGCTTATGGTGTCTCCTTCAAGCCTTTCTATAAAAAGCTTTTGGATACATAACTCCTACAAGGCTACTTGCAGTCAAGTTGACTTCGCATCCAAGGTACATAACTCCATCTATATACTGTATATTCTTCTCAGCTCTTATTGACAACTTTTGACGTCAAAACTAGTTAACAATTAGTGGATGGACTCATATCCTATATATGTTGTTTTAGATGCCATCTATTTTAGATGACATCTATTTTAGATATCAACTCGTGGACGGTTCGTCATCTCAGGCCGACTAATGTATTTTATAACTAGTTACATTAGTTACTAATGTATTTTATATAACTACTGTATTTTAGGCCGACAAACCGTTATCTAAACAGCTTATATACCTTATGTATTTTTATATTTTCATGGGTGATCTAATTTTGCTTTCTATTTTAGTTTTTATTTTATTTTTCTATGTATTGTAAAATATAAAATTACAAACCCACACACATATATAAATATATATCTTATATTAATAAGATTTACCAAGCTGATTATGAAAAAAAAAACATTAAACCCATGCATTAAGTCTTGAACACGTGTGTCTTGAAATAAGGCGTAATGTGTGTGTCATTCATCAAGGTTACAATCACTTATATACACATCGATATTTCCTAAACTTATATACTCGGATCTTGCTAAATATATGCTAAATATATTGACATATCTCGTATAGCTTAATATGTCTACTACAATCACAAATCAATGTCTTAAAACTCAAAATCCATAACAGTTGTTCAAAACAAATGGCTAGCTATACACACATAAATAGATAGATCAGAAAGTAAATGGTCGTCATGATCATTAGACGATGTGGACAAGCTCTGGTAGCGCCATCAAAGAAGCGCACAACAAGCAAGCGACAGCGATGAGTAACCAACAATCTGTCCCAGCTCAGATCGAGTGCCTACATAGAGCAATGAAACATCAAGAGCCATGACCTGAATTTTTTTTGCAGATTAAACGATTTGGTTTAGTTATCGTGTAACCTTAAAATCTCGGTTTATAATTTTTATTAAAGTTTTGTTTTGGTTTGTTTTGGTTTAAAACTAAATTTTTTTTAATGGTTTTTTAATCAAAATATGAATAAATCTTATATATATTTGGTTTACTTTGGATGAATCAAATCATTATTGGACGTATCATTATAGTTTTCTTCATAAACGTTAAATTTAAGATTTAAAAATAAAATCTATAAAATAATAAGAACTTTAAAGAAAAAACACAACAATTTTGTGGTCATGTGTTTCTAACTTTCATTTGTGTGATCTTTCAGTCTTCACAAGTCACAACTGATCTTCTAAGTATTTAAATAATTCAATATAAAAATCTGATTTTTTCATCTAGCTTCTAGTTTTGTAGGGCTGATTGTTATTGATAACTTGGATTGACCTATTTGCTTTGAATTTGATCCTTTGAAATCTTTTGTGGTGCTACTCTTTAGTATTATTATATTTACATTGTCAAAATTTACGATTTTAAACCGAAACATTTTTCACATGTTTTTGTATGTTTTTTAAATAATATTAAGTGAAACTAAAAATTGATGGTGTTCGAGAATTTCATAATAAAGTATTCTTAGGAGGTTGTGTTGTATTATGGATCTTTTGCGTTTTGTCTCCCATAATTTTCAATTATAAAATAAACTGAAAAAACAAATCGAACCAAAGTGCAAACGGTTTTGTATGGTTTAAATTTTATAAAACCGAAAAAAGAAAAATCAAAATAAAAAAACAAACAAACCATACCAAACTGAATATTGTATATGGTTTTTATATGGCTTGAGTTTTGATAGAACCAAGAAACCGAAAAAACAAACTGAAACCAAACCGAAGTTCCTATCCTTACAAGAAATGTTTTGAAATCCAAACCGACCTGCCCGATAAACCAGTTAAACCGGTCACTATTCTGGTTTGGGTTTAGCGTTAAAATCCGTTAGCTATAAATCCGTTAAAATAATAATAAAAAAAAACTTAATAACACACAAATCCGGCGATCCATGTGAACTGGCTAGATATCAGATAATAAATTTAAAAAAAAAATCAAAATAACAAAAAAAAATTTTAGTTTTTTTCACTTATTCATAAAAAAATTTGTGTTTTCTCTTCACAAACCAAACCTAAAAACCATTTTTGTGATTTTGAAATTTTATTTTTTCAAAATTTCTCTTTGTATGTTTGTATAATTGATGTTTCACTTTGATTGCTTTATATCGTTATGTGATTATCTAATTTATACTGTTGTTTATATTCAATCGATGAATCATTTTTAAAAAAATAAAACTGTTTTTAGGCAATGTTTTTCTAGTGGTCATTAAAATTTGTATGAATCTTTTGTTCAATATTTTTATATAACAAACTATAGATATTTTCATTTTAATATTTATAAACTATAGTGTGTATAAAAATTGAACCGTCTCTGGTAAGGATAAATAGGATTGGTCTCTTGATCTCTGTTGGAGGTAAAAACCGCACCCCGGTTTTCTTCGGTACAAATCGAGATTGGCATAACATAAGCCTGGTTTACGAAGGGATGTACCGGGAAAGATGGGCCGAGTGAAACATTGGGCCGAACACAGCCCATTAGGCCGAGGTCGGTGAGAAGTCTCTCGAAGGAATGGAGGGCTTCCCTGAGCTCGGTCGAAATAGGAAGGTTTCCTAACGGAAAAAGGAAACCTTAGATAAAAAAGGAAAGGAACCGAGAGAAAAAGAAAGTACTCTCGGTCCCATATCGTCTGAGGCGTGCTTGAAGACCGACTTAGAGGATATATATAAAGGGAGATGAATCGACACCAGAGAACACAGGATATTCCCGAGAAGACTTAAAGACTGAGAACTCACTACGCTAGCTTCTTAGTCGCCTTAAGTCTTAGTTCGTTATTGTCTACCTGAATAACCGAACTCAGTTGTATTTTACTTGATTCAATCTAATAAAAACCGAGCTTCCGATCTAAAAGTATTGTTTTGTCCCTTGTCGATATTTACATATCAACAATCTCCAAGGTTTCCTGGACAGACTTCACCCCAACGATATGACGGTCATTGGTCCGAGCATGACGTGCCAACTCTTTAGCTTTGGCAATCGCAGCTGTGGAGGTAATAACTCCCATGTTTCCTGCGAAAAAACGAACAAGCATTATTACTTCATAAACGCATATAAAGTATCAAGAATAAAGAATCAATAAGACAAAAAAATCAACACATATAACACGCGTACATGATATAATTAAGATATAGGGATGAGACAATTAACTAAGTATACACCAGATTCAAATTCAAGCACCATATTTACAGCATATAACAGTGACTCTGTAACCATCAATCTGTCCCAGCTCAGATGGGGTGGCCATATAGAGCAATGCAACATCAAGAACCATGACCTGAGCCTCGGCGTCGGTAATACTACCTATATATATATAAAGAATTGCAGATTAAGTGATTTGGTTTAATTATGGTGTGATCTAAAATCCGGCAATCCATGTGTATGAATATTTTGTGCAATATTTGGTCATTCTGCTGGGTTGGGGAGCAGAATGAATAAGAATGGTTTTTTTATTATTCTAAGGCATCTTGGTACTATATATGTGATGTTGAGAGTATTTATTGAATTTTTGTTTTTTCTTTTAACATGTTTTATGAATGAATCATGGTCTTTTTCTTAAAAAACTATGATTTTGATTAGAGAACTAACAAAGAACGTACGAACAAGTTTCTTCATATAATGTTAGTCTAAGCTTAATTCTAAATAACTTCCAGTATCAAGCATTAACTAAGGTATGTTCCACCAAATAAGGATTTTTAAAACTTTTGCTTCTTAGGTAGAAAAGAAAATTATGTGTTTTAATCTCAAGGAAGCATGTGCTGAGAATTACTTTTTATGGAAACCTATACTAAAGAATTTTTCTCAAATTCAAGATCATTAAGTCAAAAGATTAGAACATTAATAACAAAGTTCGAGTTCTATGCGGAAAATTGGTATATTCAAACTATTCATGAGCGTTTTAAAATCCCAAATGATGGGAACAAGTTATAAAATGAGTCTACTAATTATACTAACCTGTGGTGTGAGTTACATGTGCAGGTCAAAGAACAGAAGGATATTTTCTCACAACGAGTCTCCAGAGCTTCCAAATTGATTTCATCCGTTTAAATCACAAACAATCTGAAAAACAAATGAAAAAAAAAAGTAGAAAAATATTATACCAGATCGTGTGATGCCCATCTATTGGATTC